TGTAAATCTCCACTAATGTGAGAACATTTGAACTGAAATCATGTAAGGCTTGTTATTGACTTGTAATATAGGCTTAGGAACGGGTAGGATATTCATTTGGGAAAAAAGTAACTTAATCACTTCTTGAGCATAGCACTGAATCTGTGCTTTCAACATTTGCTACACTTTTAGTGTTTGACCCTCTTTGTTGTCCCTTGATTTTTTCCCTTTATGACTTATTTTGAAGTTTTACTTGTCTGAACTTTTCTCCTTCTCATAGTCTTTTGAAGTTTCTCCTGTTTGTTTGGAGTGTTCTTCTTCTTTTGTTGAAAGTTTGCTTGTTTGAACTTGTGGGGAATTTTGAACTTTTTCTTCTTTCTTTGAAGTCATTTTTGTATTTTTGACTTTCAGGGAATTTGTAACCTTTGTTTTTGACAAATTTAAACTTTGAATCTTCTTTTGTAACTTGAACTTCCTCCACGAGTTCAAGAAAGTCGGGCCAAAAAAGGGATAGTGCGTATAAGCAGTGAGAAAGGATATAAGCTAAAATGTGGTTGTCCAATGAAAAGGTTTAAAGCTCAAAGTGGGGACATACTAAGGATTAATTTCATTTTGTAGGCTATGAAAGACTAGTGGCTTATACACACAACAACCAAATTTGGGGTATTAATAGAAATAATAAGTTTTGTGCTTTTATCTTTGTTCTTGCTTTATCTTTCCGCATTTCTTTTGTTGTTGTTGGGTTGAGGCTGACTTGCCTTGGTTGGAATAGACAAGTGTCATCACGTCCATTTTTGGATTGTGACAATATATAAGTAGAGTTGTCAAAGGAGGGGGGGGGGGGGGGTTAGACTGAATCTTGGCGGGTCATTTAGGCTGAGTGAATAAATGGACGGGTTATTGACTTGCCCAAAAGCTACTTGGGCAGAAACGAGCTAAAATGTCTATCATAATTCAACCCGCCAATTCTTATTAAGGTTTTATTGTTTTATTTGTTCTTTTATAATATATAAGAAAAATTACACGGGAAAATTACACTAGGTAACAATCCATAACATTTGTTTACCACTTTTCTGGTCCAACTTTACAAAATTACCCAATTTGGATAAAAGAGCCATATTTAATGTAATTAATATAGTAGCCACGGTTTATCACTATTTAGTCACGGTTTATCACTATTTAGCCACGATTTAATCGTGGCTAAATAACGCTATTAAAAACAAAAACTTTTTTGTTGCACTTTTTATTTTGTAATCATTTCACTTTTTTGTGGAAAAATAGATATGTATATCGTTTTATTATTTTTTGTTTATTTTATTTATTAAGACGAGAATGGATGATAGTCACATAAATATTGATACATTATTAATCGTTTATATAATTCGATACACGATTATACATATTTATACAATATCGATATTACATATACACTACATAGTTATTTGTACATTATATATACATGTTATATACCATTTATACGATATTAATACATATTTATATACAATTTATACAATATAGATACATAGCATATACACTACATAACTATTTATACAATAACGATACATTATATATGAACTACATAACTATTTATACAATATCAATACATTATATATATACATATAAAATACATAATTATTTATACATCATATATACATATTCATACACCATTATACAATATCCATACATACATACAACATTGATATATTACACATACACTACTTAACTGTTATATTAAAAGAATAAAAAGAGTTAGTTATTTAGCCCCGATGTAGGAAAATTAGCAATTAAGTCATAATACCTAACATAATTAGTCAAAATAACAACACTTTAAAATATTTATTTAAAATGTCAGAATGACAATATTTTTAGAAAATAATATGTATTCAGATTTTATTAATTGAAATTAATTTTATTTATGAAAACAGTCCTATATTGGACCAAATTCTAAACCAATAACCGTTTAAAAAGAAAAAAAATTAAACCAATACCCATTAACCTTCCTTCTTCACCTTTCACGTTTCTACCCCCACCTTTCACGATTCCAGATTCTCTTTCGGTGCTCACAAATTGTTCATCAAAATATATATTTAATTCACGAAATTTTCTCGATTGTTAAACGAAATCTCTTTATTAATTCAAGAGATTTCTCGATTGGCAAGGTAATTTTCATTATTTATTTAGATTTATTTTGATTTGCTGTTTAAAATCACCGATTATGGTGTATATTTCGGATTCTATGTATTACGGATTTCCGGTCAAATTTTTCAATTTTTTTGTGTTTTTGTTTAGATATTCATCAAATATTTATGTATTTCAGATTTTTATTCTTTTAAACAATTTTTTACAATTTTTTTTGTGATTTTCTTTTAAGTTTTCAGATTTTGTAGAATCTAGAAATTCATTTATATGTTTATTTTGTTTGATATTTAATACATTTATTTTTTGATAATATTAAAATTTGCTTTTAGGGTTTTAGATTTTGGGGAAAGCATCTGATTGTCTACAATGACCGAATCAATCAGAAATTTATTGGTATTCATTTTTTTGTTTGAAATACAAAATCATACTGAAATACAACCTGATATTTGAAATACAAACTTAGTAAGACATATTTTGTATTTTATTTGGCTAAAGTAATATAATTTTATGAATACATAATATATAAAATTGGGACGAATACATCACAAGAAGGGGAATACAAAATTATTGGTAATCATTCTGCGTTTGATATACAAAATGATATTGAAATACAACATGATATTTGAAATAAAAACTGAGCCAGAAAATACTTTCTGCAAATTTAAAGTGAAATAATAATAACAAAACTGGATATTGAAATATAAATACAATTTGTTTTGAATACAACTTATTCTATGTATTATGTATTCATCGCAACTGTATTTTCAATATCATTTCGATTTACAACTAATTTGTATTTATATTTTGGTATATACTTCACAACTGTCTTTACTTTTGTACTTGAACTAGAATGTCAAAGAGTTGTATTCATCATAAATCAATACCAATAATTTTTGTATTTTAAATTAGTTATACATATTATTAGGTATTTGAATACATTTCGGATGAACACATATTCAAAGAAGTTCAAAACATTTTAAAATATACCAAAAACAGAGGGCATTAGAAATTTTCCAACACTTCCACTCATATAAGATATAAAATACAAACTACTGTTTTACAAAAAAAAAATTGAAATTCTTAAGAACAAAGGAAAAAACGCTAGAAAGAAAAATGACAACATATGCTCTTTCAAAAACGTAACTGATGTTAAATTTTAATTTTTTTACCTTTTTTGAAATTTTCTGTTCCATGATTTTCTCTATTCTGTTATTAATTATTTGTATTCTTTCAAATTAATCAAAATAAAATAAATACATAACTCAGCCCTTAACAAACTAAAATATTAACATTTTAAATAAATAGTGACCCTATTGCTAAGGAGTGCCATTAAAAGCTAAAATATTGTTGTTTTGAAAATTTTCCCAAAATTAAAAGTAAACCGTGACTAAATAGAGAATTTGACTATGTTTCATCTTATTATTTTCGTGGCTATACTTTTTTGTAAACTAATAAATTTTTGGTACATATTTGAAGTCATCCATTTTTAACACCTAACAATTTATTATTTATTTATGACTATATATGATATATCAAATTAAAATAAAAGGAAAATTACGCGGTTAAACAAACTTGTACTACTAATTACTCATCATAGCTATAGTTTGCTATAATTACTACTCGCAACTAACATTAACCATTAATTATGTGGCTGACTTCGAGTTTGTATAATTAGTCAAATTTGTATAATTCGCCATATTTGTATAATTCACAACTAACAATTCTTCGTTTGATTTGTATTTGTATATGATAGTTTGTATTTGTATATGACGACGATTTCCTTTGATTTTCTAGTTTTGTCATCATATACGTTCAATCTTTTTGTGTATAACTTCTTAAAGTTTGTATAAACGTGTATTTTTCGGATTTTGTGTAATATAATTTATATAATGTAATTTGTATAATATATTTTGTATAAGTGTTTAAAGTTCATATGTATTTTTACATTACTCAATTATACAAAAATACGCGAATTATATAAATGTACCTGCGAATTATATAAACGAGATGTGAATTATACAAATTATTGCCCTCTCTCGCTCGCTTCTCTCCTCCCTCTCCCAATCTCACTCACCTCTCTCCTCCCTCTCCCAATCTCGCTCGCCAGAATATACAAATACCTATGTATATATACAATTATCTAACCAATATACATATACAATTCACCTCTCTCCCACTCTCTGCCCTATCTCGCTCGCCTCTCTCCTCCCTCTCCCAATCTCGCTCGCCACTCTCCTCCCTATAACATGTAGCTACAAATCGTAATTAGCAAACTATAGCTATGGAGTGTAATAATTAGGCCATTTTTGAGTGACTATATGCGAAAGTTTCTCTAAAAAAATATCTTTTAAGAAAATATTTTGACAAAATATCTCATGAGTCAATTTTGGCTACATATCAATTCACATTCTTAATGGACTAAGATGGATTAAACCAAACTGAAGTGAATTGAGCTAACAAATGACCCCCCTAAACTTGAACAAATTAGGTGGTTGGACTTGATTTTGATATCGCTAGACGCTATGTATACAACTTATAAGTAGAGGTGACAATTGAGCTGGTTGGGTTAAATTTAGATGAGTGATAGTGGGTTAAGACAACAATTGGATCAAGACCCAATCCAATCCAAATTTGCTTGAGTCAAAACACCTTTGGTCAAAATGGGTTAGGTAATAGGTTATATTGCGGGTTAAGACCCAACCCAACTAAGCTTAATTGAGATGAGTTGAACTGAATTGAACTAATGAATCAATAACCCGCCCAAACTTAAGTGAATTAGACAGGTAGGACTAATTGAATTTGATTTTGTAACCCCTTTACTTATTTATATTTTATTATTAAGTATTATATTATATATAATAAAATACAATATAAAAAACAACCCCAAAATTTGGTTCAAAGAAAAGGAAAAACAAAAACAAACGGCGAACGATAAGAGTAAACACCAGAATAGGCATCTCTTTGTTAATGGCCAATCTGTTGTTTCACCGATCTCCATTCTTCAGTGCTCTCTATTTTTGTTCATTCTTTACTAAGGTAATCGCTCTCATTTTCTATTTGTTTATCTTCTTGTTACTTAAATTATTGTTATGTATCTTGATATTAATCATTTAATATTTATTACTTCTTATTGAATTCGGTATTTGGGGAAGGTGGTGTCTGGATTTTTGATCGGAGAACGGTTTTTTTTTTTTTTTTTTGAATTTGTGAACTAATCTTTTGGTAAATTGATGGCTGTTGGGAGTTATAATAGTTAAATCTGAAATTAGATCTCTCTTGGGTACTTGAAATGATTCTTTTATGATTCCATTTGGTCAGTGGAGAGATTTTGGGGCTTACTGAAAGTTATAATATGCATTTTGGAGATATCTGCGTTGCAGTATTAAAATTAAAGAAGAAACTGTGTTAAGCTTCTTGATTTAATAAATTATTATTTGTAGATGCACCAAGTTATTTTCTGTACTGTAAGGGTTAAAGTTGTGAATTAAGTTATGCTGGTTGGTTTATCAGAGAAGTTAGAAGTTGTAAAGCTTGGTTAGAGAGAGTGAAAACGCACACGTGATGTCTTTTGACGGAGCTGAAAGGCCATGGAAATGTGGGAAAGGGGGTACTGTGAATTTACAGAAAGTGACTTCCATTGTTCGGGACATTGGGGAACCTTGTCTTCATCAGTCATCAATAAAGGTAATGGCTTTTAAGATATGTTATTCTCAATTATGGTGTTTTGAGGGATGTCATAGTTTGTATCTCTGAACTCTAGTGCTAGCCTGGTCAGTTCTCAATTAGTTTTGCAAGGAAATTATGTTATCCTGTTGTGTATTGCCTATTGAGTGTTTCTTATTTGATCTCGCACTGAACTGGTTTCTTTCACTATTCTACCTTTACTCTATTTTTTACTTTACTTTGTCAATTTGTAAAAAATCTGGATTCTAGAAAATTTGAATGTGTATGGTTGCATATCTTGATTCTTCTTCCGTGAAAAATTATTTAATCTTCAGCTAAAAACATAATGGGATGAAGAAGATGTTAAGGGGCCGTTCAGTAGGACTTATTGCCACTTATTATACACAGTATATAACTAAACATTCCCTATTCCCCATTCGATCCCCACTTTGTAAGCCCCTCCCCCCTTTAAAAGAAAAAATAAACGTAACAATCCCCACATTATTGACAGTCTGTTTGAATTAACTGAATTTAAGTAGCTTTTAAGCACTAGAAAAACACTTTTAAAGTGCTGGAGCTGGTTTTCTGATAAGCAGTTACATGCATTAAATAACAGTGCTGAAACTGAATATAAGTTGTTGTGCTTGGTAAAAAAGTGCTTATCAACACTTCTTCTGCTAAAATGTCACACTGAAAATCACCTAAGCCATGCTGGCACCTACTCTCAATCTAGTAGGCAAACCAATTTCAGTTTTAGCCAATTCCCTTTATTAAAAGACAAAATGTAAACAATTGAAAACGATTGCAAGTCATATATATGTCTCATATAACATAAGCACAAAACTAATACAGACAACCCCAAAATCTAGCCATATTAGTCGAAAGCTCTACATCATTGGAAATACATAAGACTCCAGTATCAAGTACACTGTCTGAATTGGAAAGATAAAAAAAGTAAAGACAGGAAGGTGGTCTAGTGTTGCGGATCAGCCAAGAAGCTCACGCTGACTCTCTGAGTGCAAGCTCTCTAGACATGATCCCTAACTCTACTAGTACCAATATTAGGAAGCGCACAAAAAGTGCAGCTAGTGTTGTGTGAGTACATAATATGTGTACTCAACAAGTATTATTGACCGACACCAACAAAGTAATGGTGATGGCTGGCCTTAAAAATACCTGCTTTAGCCTGTGTAGTTCATATAATCTCAACTGATAAGGAAATAACTGCTAAAAGGGAAATCCATCCGAACAACATTATAAAATGCACATAACAATGTATAAATGATATGTACAAATAAGAGTCATGCTGAAATGCATGTGATGTTGACCCTACCAATCTCAAATTGTGCCCCCAACACTTTGTGCATGCACTGCCTCACTGGGGTGTCTAGGAGCAGTGATCCACAGGGGACAACCGCGTTGTCCATGCGTCTGCAGGGAACAGGATCACATTGTGTCAATAATCATGTCAGTCTGCCTAAAATAAAATCCCATTGGGCCATAATGACATCACTTCACTCTGGACAAGATCCCATCGGGCCATAATCATAACACTCCGCCCGACACATTATTTCATTTGTCCCAAAGTATCCTGAATGCATGTCATGGAAAAACATGAATCACATATGCAATCACATGACATGTAAACTGTGCATAAAAATGAATCTATGCAATATGGGTATCATTTAACACATGAAATATCTGCAAGGGAACGCCTAGTATGTTGCTGCAAGTATAAGAAAGAAGTAAAAATAACCTACAATGGAAGCTTATTGCCTTTGGTGAATACAGAGGAGCATCCAAGAAGTTGAACCTAACAAAAGAAGGAATCCATGAAAAGAGAAAAAAATATTCTGGAATTAATTATGTCGAGTATTTCGACACTAGGAGATAAGTAATCCACCGTCTTTGGGAAGTTTTAACTCTTTGAGAAAGGATTCGGTCAAAAGAGGGTGTAAATACTCAGAAGCCTAATGATCTGGTACAGTACAACACAGTCTAGGAGTCCTAATTGAATATAAAGGATGAAAATAGATGTGCTCTCTGTTATGTCCATATCCAAGGAATTCCGCTTCATTCATATTAGTGGTATCACTTACACCACATTAGCAAGCATCATTTCATTAAGCTGACTATTTTCCATCTTGTAACCATTTGGATTACTTCCCCTTAGTTCTTGTTGATTTTAATGACATTTCAGATTGCTAACTCCTCAAATTTCCATATTTTGAGAGGAACAAAGACAAGTGTGGTTGTATAGCAATTAACAGTCCTAATAGGAATCACTAAGGATTTTCTTTTAATTACTATGAAGTGTTTTTACATATTTGTACCTTAATATTAAAAATGATAATATTATTTTTAAAGGCTAAAAAGGTTGTTCAACTTTAGCTTTTTTAGTCTATCAATATTTTCTACTCAAGAGTTTTTCCACTTTCATAATAACTAGTTTCTCTGCATGTTTATCTTATTACACAACTTGTATATAGTTTGTGATGCAAAATGTTGAATTTTAACCATACACATATTTCAAGAAGTCTTGTTTGAGTTGTAAAGGCATTTCGACATACGCTATTTACAAATCAACCTTTGTTGCAGTTTCAAAAAAAAAAATCAACCTTTGTTGTATAATTTTATCGACTATTTCAACTTCAGCAATAAATAGATAAGTTATACCTAGAGTGGCCCAGTGGTTTGAGCTTGGGACTTCCATGTTGGAGGTCTCAAGTTCGAAACTCCTTGCCAGCGAAAGCAAGGGGTTTGCCTTCTGGGTCGAGCTCGTCGCACCAGGCTTGCCTAGTGCGGTTTACCTCTCCTATGTGGTTTGCGAGCTATTGCATAGGAGCAGGGGTTTTACCCTGTGCGCACCCAAAGGGTAGCGGCTGCGGGTTTCCCTTGTCATAAAAAAAAAAAAAAAAAAAAAAGATAAGTTATACCTAACAAAATTATTTTTAGAGCTTCTCGAATGAAGTAATATTTTACTTATAAAAATCCAACTTGTATCCATGTGAAATTATATCAAACACAATGTCAACACATTTTCAACTTTTACTTCAAATACTGTTTTTTTCAAACTTTAACAAAATTGTCCAAAATAAGCAATTTAAAATAGATAAGTAATCAATATTTATAATTAATTTTAGTTACCTTTATCTCAAAAAAAAAAATAAAATATTTATAATTAATTTAATTTTCTTCACTTGAGCTGAGGGTCTTTTGGAAACAACCTCGCTACCTCCAAAACGTAGTGGTAAGGCCTGCATATACTCTACCCTCCCCAAATACCACTTTGTGGAATTTCACCAAGTATGTTGTTATAATAGTAGAATATTTTTTTTTGCTTATATGTATGTATATCATTCAAATGTTAACATTAATGTGTGAAATTTCAAACTAGTATGATTACTATTATTTATGAAAGAAAAGGCTAGATGTGAAAAAGAAGGAAACTGGTTTAATGATGAGACCAAAGGTATAGCTCCAAATTCTCCTTCATTTTGCATTTGTTTTCTTTTTTCTCAATCATTCTTTCTTTTCTTTGTTTTATGAATTTTCACAATTATGAGTTAAATATTACTCTATCCGGTCAATTACCAACTTTGGAGAAGAAATAAGAAATAACTTTTGTTTTATGGTATGTAATTTTCGTTATCCTACAATAACAGAAAATGGAACTCATAAGATTATGTGTAAAGATTGTCAAGAAAAATTTTTTGTGCCTAAGAAAAACTAAATTTTGAAAGACTTGGGGCCAGTTTGGCCATGTGAGATGAAAAATCATGATATGAAATCATATGAGATGAAGTTGAGGTTTGTTTGGACATGCAATTTGAATTTTAAGTTGTATGCTTTGCTCATAAACATAAAACCCCCATAAGTTGTGAAAACTATCAAAATTGCCTCAATTCTTTATATTATCTTTATCCATAAAGCAAAAATTCATAACAAAAGTATAATACACTATCACAAAGTTATTCTAAAAAAAACACAATATATTTGATCAAATTTTAGTTCAATAAAAAAGTAAAATTGAACTTGAGTTATAGTAAACTACTCTTTAATAAATTGGTCATCAAAATACTACTCTTTAAAAGAATTGAACATGGTCAATTCTATATCATCATGTTCATATTCCGAGAATATTTCATCATTCCTTTGGTATTCTCGCAAAAAATTAAATAGATATAAAATGTTCTTTTCTACAAAATATAAACTTGTGGGTCAGTTTTCGTATTTGAAAAATATGAAATCATGAGATGAAGTTCTCAAATCATGCTTTTTGGAGAATTTGGGATTTCATCTCATGATTTCAAATCACTAGATGAAATAGCATGTCCAAACGCCTACTTATATACTGTCAATTTAAAATTATATCTATCACTCTCACCTTACAAATAAAAAATTGTTAGGACTCTTCAAGAGACTTGTAAAGCTTGGGTAGAGCCTTCCACGAAGGGAGGTGATGTGAATAAGGTAGGAGACAGGTCGCGTGAGGCTATTACCTCATTTGACGAACTGGGTCCTTGGAAAGGTGACACTGATCAACTTGTTTTTGATGATTTTTCCACTAATGAGGTTTGGAATCACCCCAAAACAATTTGGTGACTGTGATTTCAGTGGATAAGGGGAAATGGGCTGCTGGAGATCCAGTTTTAGCTGCTGGCTAGTGCGCTACTCCGGTGGGGTCAGTCGAAGGCTCTTGTTTTAAAGTTGATAGGCCTGGAACACCCCTCCCCAATTCTGATTTGTCAGCGAGTCCTCCAAGGCCCATGGGAATTCGGAGAGGAACTTTTCTATCTCTCATCAGTTGGATAAGGACGTTATGGGGTGGG